CATGGAGCACTGGGTGTTATACGAGAAGAATGAATCGTGGAACACTACATCAAAAACTAATGATGTACTGTATGGTGACTAACATAACAATAAAAAAAAAGTAAGTGTAATGTATATTACTGCTTGGATTTTTTAAAAAATTAATTTATTTTATGTAAATTCAGTGAACGTATAACGTATTATATTATTGGTTTCCGAGTAGGTTGTCAGTGATTCATCAGTCTTATATAATACCTGGTGCATATTACATCACATGCCCTCCTTAATGCCCATCACCCAGTTACCCCCTCCCACCACCCCTCCCCCCTCCAACAACCCCCGTTTGTTTTCTATGCTTAAGAGTGTCTTACGGTTTGTCTCCCGCTCTGATTTTGTCTTGTTTTTATTTTTCCTCTCTTCTATGATCTTCTGTTTTGTTTCTTAAACTCCACATATCACTGCTTGGGTTTTTAACTTTATGTTTTGTCAGGCAGCTTTCAAAAAATATAAGCAGAAATCAAAATAAAAGATAAAATCTGCCCCCACAGTCTTGCTGTCTACAACCAATTAAATTGTTTATGTAAATTTCTTTAGAGGTTTTGTTGTAACAGTTCCATTTAGGGAAAGAAGTGCTGGGAATTACAGTGAAAGTAACTGCAGGAAGGAAGATGTAAGGGTGTGAGAGCATGTGGGTGTGCGGTGAGACGTTAGGCCTAAGCATGGGGAGACATGGCTTCCCTTTCTGTGCATGGTGAAGACGATGTTCAGGACTGGTTTCCCTCGGGCCAGAGCACTTTCAGGGGTGATCCTGCAGGCTGCATTCCTCGGGGTAGGATGGGACCTGGAGCCCCTCCCTGGGAGGCTTAGGAGGCCGAACTCAACTACAGTGGAAGTTTCTGCCTGCTTCCTGGTGTGGTTGATAAGGTGGTGCTCGCCGTGGCACCTGCTGTGGGAGGAGCACTTTCAGGAAGCTCTTTCTGGAAAACAGGGTGAATTGTTTAACCAAGTCTCTTCTGACTGTCTTTGTGTCTCAGGTTTCACAGGCCGTGCAGTGGCTGGTCTCTCACTGCCCCTGTTCCCTTGACCTTTGCTGCCAGACCCTCGTTCAGTATGTGGAAGATGGGGTTGGTCGTGAGTTTAGTGGCCGGTTTTTCCATGACAGAAGAGAGAGGCGGCAGGGCGGCCTGGCCTCACAGGAGCCTGGAGCCATCATCGAGCTGTTCAACAGTGTGCTGCACTTCCTCGCCTCCCTGGTGTCCTCTGAACAGCTGTGCGACCTGTCCTGGCCTGTCACTGAGTTTGCTGAGGCGGGGGGCAGCTGCCTGCTTCCTCACCTTCATTGGAACGCCCCGGAGCACCTGGCCTGGCTGAGGCAGGCTGTGCTCAGCTTCCAGCTTCCACAGATGGACCTTCCACCCCTGGGGGGTGCGTGCTCATGCTGAGGGGTCCTGGCTGGGGAGGAATGTGGGACAGCCAAGCCTCCTGTTTTCTTTCTTACTGTACTGACAGTCTGGCAGGTATTGGGCACTAGTGTGAGGTTTGTGTATCCTCCTTCCCCGTTCCCACACCGTACCTGCTTGCACCTGCCTTTCGGTTCAGGAGTCAGATAGGGCTGGGGCTCTCTGTATGGGGGGGCTGTTGGCTCTTTACCACCAAGAGAGCAGTCTGTGGGTGTCTGCACAGCCCAAGGAAGAAGGTGGTGAGTGATGTCGGGAGGAATGCTTAACCCAAGGCCTGTGGTTTTTGAATTGACAGCAGGTTCTGTCCTGCCTTTGCCACAGGGTGTGGGGGCAAAGAGCATGGGGACCAGGTAGCCCTGCCCATGCTGCTGGCTCTGCTGGGGCCATGCCACACAGTGCTGCTTTACCGCTAGTGTTCCTTCTTTGTCAAAGAAGCTTCTGTTCTGTGACTCTGGTTGTGTCCAGGTGAGGTTGTTCTGATGAGACTTTATAGGTCCCCTGGGCTGGGCAGGGAGGTTGTCTCTTCCCTTGTTGACACTGGTAGGAGGGAATGAGGCTGTTTGCTACTTATGTGGCAGGACCACTCTCCTTTGGGCCTTGTGGAACAGAGGCCTCAGGTGCCCTTCTAAACTTCGGGGTGTGGTCTTCAGTAGGTCCAACCGATGCTTGTTACTGAAGAAACCCAAAGGGAAGGGAATCACACAGCATAAATCCTCTGTGCTGTGAGCTAGTGCAGGTTTCCCCAAGAGAAGCCCAGACTTCCTCTACCAGAGCCACCTGGTTGCTGGTTAAAATACAGATTTCTGGTGCAACCACAGGCCTGGATAGTCAGAGCCTCTAAGGTGGACTCTTTGTTGTGTATTTTGTCCAGGGTGCCTGCACCTCTTACTGGGACATAGGGAAGGAGATGTTCTTCCCTCCCTCAGCAGCTGTGGTTCTGTTATTTTCAAATTCAAAAGCAAACTTCTCAAATACACAGTTGTCTTTTTCTAAGAAAATGTAGTGAGAACATTTTGTGTAGTATATGCCTATGCTTTGGCCAAACCTTGTAACTGAGGAGGTGCTTTCTCTCCAGCGCCCTGGCTCCCTGTGTGCTCCATGGTCGTCCAGTATGCCTCCCAGATCCCCAGCTCTCGCCAGACGCAGCCTGTTCTCCAGTCCCAGGTGGAAAACCTGCTCTGCAGAACCTACCGCAGGTGGAAGAGCAAAAGCCATTCCCTGGGCCAGGGGACAGGGCCCTCAGTTGCTGAGATCCCATGGGACGATGTCATTGCTTTGTGCATCAACCACAAGCTGAGGGACTGGACGCCCCCCAGGCTTCCCGTCACATCAGGTAGTTAGTACTCGGTGCTGTGTGGTCACCTCAGTGACTTCCAGGTGACTGTAAACATTGGGAGGAGCTAGGAATGTTCCAGGAGAACCTAGACCTACCTCCCTGAAATGGGCCCTTAGGCTGGCTCTAAGTTAGATTTTGGTGACTCTGAGTAGTTATACTGGCCATGCCACAGTCTAGACATGAGCCTGTCTGAACCTTAAATGACCCATGGACGTTGGGGCATATTTGGGGCATGGGAGTAACATAATTGTGTGACTTTAATTAATCAGTAGGACTTGTCCTTAAATCGGTGTATTTAAGCAGATTTCAAGCAGTCACTTGTTGCTCTTTTGATATTCTTTTCTCATTTGTTTTTTGTATTGTCTTTTCAGAGGCTCTGAGTGAAGATGGTCAGATATGTGTATATTTTTTTAAAAACCATTTGAAAAAATATGATGTTCCTTTGTCATGGGAACAAGCCAGAATGCAGACACATAAGGAGCTACATCTGAGTCAGGAGCGGTGAGATCTGTGTCCATTATATATTTCTGTCCCGACAACCAGCAGAGCAAACTGACTTATTCTCCAGAGTACATGGAACATGAATGTTCTACACACAGATTCTAGCCCACTGTGTGTATGTTCTGAAAAGTACTCGAGGAACAGATCATTCTCATGCAAGCATGTTATTTATCAGATAGGCCTGACCCTGAAATCATAACATAGCCAGGAGAGTGTAGACAAAAGAAAGCTGACATCTCATCTGACTTACAAACCTGGTTTAAAAGTACTGAATAAAACGTGTTAGCACATATAATCTTTTAGTACATCAAAAAATTCACAGTAGGCTTTATTCCAGGATAAATCATGTCAACAGAAATCGACTCATGTAATTCGCTATCATAGCATAAAAACAGTGATCATTTCAGTAAATTATTTAAATGCTTTTCTTAAAGTTTATACCCTTCCACCCCAATTTATACTCATTCCTAAATTTCTTATCAAACTTGGGTAAAAAAATTCCTTAGCTTGATAAGGCTTTCTACCATAAAACTACCAAAAAAAAAAAATCTTCTTGCTAAGACATTAGAAACATGTCAGAACCAGCCTGAGCTGCCCCTGACATCACTTGTTCACTGTTGTCCTGGAAATGCTGCCCAGTTCAGGGACACAGATAAGATGGCGTAAATATTAAAAGGTAGGAGGAACTGCCATTTCCACACAGTAAAACTGTCAGTTCAGGAAAATCAGTAGTTATGTCCTTAGAAGTTAAACGACCTTCAGAGTTCAGCAAGGTGATCAGACAGATGGGCCTGCAGCGTACAAAAATTGTCATTCACAGCAGCAACAAACCCTTAACATATGGACATAAACTTACCCAGGAAAGGCCTTAAACCCCTGTGAAGGGGACTCTCGGGGCCCTGAAGGTGCAAAGAAAACCTGAATCAATGAGGGACGGGCTAGCTTTGTTGATGGGAAAATGCAGTACTATGAAGATGTCAGTTCTCAAACGTAAAGTCAGGGCATTTCTAATCAAAAACCCAAAAGGATTTATACTCCTGGTCTTGACAAGTTAATTCTGAAATTCATCAGTATGAGAAAATGTGTAGCAGTTACTGAGAAAATTTTGAATTAAAATAACAAGGAGGGTCTACTGTGCCTGATAGCAGAACATACAGTAAAGTTACAGCAGACTAATCAGATCAGGGAATCCAGAAACAACCACATGTGACGAAGCACCATGCCAACCAGTGAGAAGAGGATAGCCGTTGGCATCTGTTTGGAGAAAACAGTAGATACTCTTTCTTTCACTGTTTGTGAATATTACTTACACATGGATTTAAGAGCTAAATGTCAAAATAAGAACCTTGCCAATATTAGGGGAAAATAGAGACCTTGTTGATAACCCTGGGATGGGAAACCAAACTCGGAGGAGAGAAGCTCCGAGCTGCCCAGGAGAGAAGGGAAGCCTCTTCCATAAGGCAGAAGACCCTGTGCCCAAGCCTGACCCCAAGGGAAGCCAGAAATAGGCAAGGTCTGGGACTCTGTGTCTACACCCACACTCCTGATGCTGGAGGAACCCCTTCTCCCTCTTTCCTGACCATAACCATTTCAAAACATGTACTTACAGTTTGGGGATAAAGTCTTTTCATCCTGCAAACAAGTTTCCGGCTCCGTTACTACACACGCACCGGAAAGGGAAGAGGAATGTGGAGCATGGCCCAGAGGGGCGGGTTCCCAGCACCCAAGATCTGATGTGCCGAGCCTCTGCCCAGGAGCTGCTAGCCCAGTGTCTGTCCCAGAGTCTGCTGCTGGAGAAAGAGGAGAGCAAGAGGTGAAGTCCATTCCCTTCTGTTTATTGTATCCTTTAGGCTTCTTCGTGCTGGATTAGTAAGGATCCCAGTGATGTGACTTTGTTTAAAAAAGGCCAGTCAGACGTGTAAAGTGTAAGCTCTTTGAAGGCAGAGGCAGGGCCTTAGTATGTCTTAAACTGTTTCTTATTTGAAAGCCATTTCACTTATTGTTCACTATTGAGAGTCAGTCCTAAGTTTTCTGGTGGGAAGAAAGTGTGGCTGGCTTCTGGAATGTCTTCAGTGGATAGTGCTGAATGTCTGGCTGGCACCAGCTCTCTGCCCTCGGCAAGCCTGAGGGTGCCGTTGCATCGTCCCACACTGTAGACCCTCCTCTGTATCTCCCACCACCATGTTATGGTTTCACTAAGTGAACCAGGAAGAAGGCACTTTACAAAGTGGTCCGTACCCAGCCCCCACCCCCAGCAGCCTCCCTGGGTCTAGCTTATCACCAAGGGTAGCCCCTCCCCTTGGCTGGGATTCCATCTCCCACCCACTCAGGACACTCCAGTGAGCGTCCCTCTCTGTTGTGTCCCCTCCCCCCCACCTCCCAGCACCCAGACTGGGGACCATCCCTGAGTTTCTGCTCCCTTGACTGTAAACTCCTCAAACAGTGTGGTCCTCTTTTCTCAGTCTCTCCTGACCCCCTCTCTACCCGCATGTCTGCTCTGGTCAGGGTCACTGCAGCCTGCACAAAGCTGAACTGACCATGGCAGTGTTCCATACCTTTGTTCTCTCCCTCCTGACTCCCAGGAGGCCCTGAGTCCCTTTCCTGCCCAGCTGGCAACTCCCCCTAGGACTCTCCTGGTTCTTCCTCATCCCTGTGCACTCCTACCTATCTTTTGTGTCATCTGCATCCCCACTCCCCAGTGAAAGCATCCGGTTCATGAATTTTTAAATAACATCAATATTCTGACAACTCCAAATTTATATCTCAACCCCTGAGTTCTCTGAAGTCCAGATTTGAATATCCAACTGGTTTCTTGAAGTCTTCATTAGTCATTTATAGGTTGCGTGATAGCCATCTCAATGCTAACATCCCAAATCTAATTCCCAATTTTCCCCCAGTCAGCTCCTCCTTCGATGGTCTTCTCAGCTGATGGGGCTTTGTCCTTCCAGCTGCCCTGGCCAAATGTCTTGGAATTATCCCTCCACATCCAGTTCATCCATAAATCCTATTCTATTAAAAATATATTCAGAATTGGACCATTTTTTGCAGTGGGCTGTGGTGTAGTCTTGGCAGACCCATTGTGAGCCTTTCACGTGTTACTCCTTTGCTTATAACCTTCCAGTGGCTTCTTCTCCAATTAAAGGCAGAGTCTTTATGAAGTGGGCAGGCCCTACATGCTCTGCATCCCATTTCCTTTCTGACCTCTCTGCTCCTTCAGCATGCCAGGCAGCACACAGCCAGGCCTTTGTGTTTGCTGCTCCTTTTGCCTGAACTCCTTAGCCACCTTCCTGATATACCGTGGCTCACCTTGCACTCTACGTCCAGTCTCTGCTCAAATGTCTGCTTCTCAGGGAGGCCCTCCTTACTCGTCCCCCGAACCTTCTGGTCGTATCTCTGCTTTGTCTTTCTCACCTTCAGACCACATTTCCCTTACCTTGTGTTCCTGTCTTTCTCCCCTCAGTAAAGTATAAGCTGCTTACAGCCAGACCTTGTGTGTTTTCTTTCAGTGCTATAACCCTGGTACCTAGAATGGTGCCTAGTGTTTGGTGGGGGCTTGATAAATATGTGTTGGAAGAGTGAATGAATGTGTCGTGATTTCCAAAGTAGATTTTCCTAGGTCTGTCTCATTTAAGCAGTTGGATCAGATGGTTTTTCTTGAAAAGACTAGTGTATGGAGTGAACAGCTCTGAAGTGTGTTAGGTGGCAGTGGGGTATTATTTTGAGTTAATTTTAACTATAACCATCAATCCATATATTTGGATAATCCATTAAGAGATAAGAATTACCAGGGCGCCTGGATGGCACAGTTGGCTAGCCATCTGATTTTTTTTTTTTAACATTTTATTTATTTATTTGACAGAGAGAGACACAGCAAGAGAGGGAACATAAGCAGGGGGATTGGGAGAGGGAGAAGCAGGCTTCCTGCTGAGCAGGGAGCCCGATGTGGGGCTCGGTTCCAGGACCTAGCCATCTGATTCTTGATTTTGGCTTGGGTCATGATCTCAGGGTTGTGGGACTGAGCCCTACATTGGGCTCTGTGCTCATTGCGGAGTCGCCTTGGGATTCTCTCTCCTCCCTCTGCCCCTCCCGCTTACGTGTTCTCTCTCTAAAATAAATAAATAAATCTTAAAAAAAGAAAAGAGAGATAAGAATTACTTATAAACACCAAATTAAGGGTGCCTGGGTGGCTCAGTCGGTTAGGTGGCTGCCTTTGGCGTGGGTCATGATCCCCGGGTCCTGGGATCGAGCCCCACATTGGGCTCCCTGCTTGGTGGGGAGCCTGCTTCTCCCTCTCCCTGCTCTGCCTGCCGTTCCCCTGCTTGTGCTCTCTCTCTCTCTGTCAAATGAATAAATAAAATATTTAAAAAAAAAACCCACACACCAAAATAAGCCAGAGAAAATAAACCAAATGAGAGAATTATGAGTAATATTAAGTAACATGCAAAAGCAGTTTTTGAATAAATGCCACCTTTTCCATTAAATCTAATTTGGGCTTATAAATTAAAGAGAAGATTAAAATTTTTAAGAGTATGATTCTACTTCTCAGTTGATGTCATAACTTTGTTCTATCCTTAGTACAAAGCAAAGCTTTAAAAAATTAGAAGTAGGAGCACTTAGCTGGCTCAGTCGGTGAAACATGTGATTCTTGATCTTGGGGTTGTAAGTTAAAGTCCCATGTTAGTTGTAGAGATTACTTAAAATCTTAAAAAAAATTAAAAATATATACAGGAGAAAAGTGAATGATCGTTAAATGTTTTCTTCCTCATTCTCAAATGCTTTAGGTTTGAAGATCAGCTTCAGCAGTGGTTGTCTGCAGACTCAGGAGTGTTTACGGATTCAGTGTCCCTTCCCCTCTACCTTCCTCGGACTCTGGTGTCTCTGCCTCAAACTATTGAACCTGTGATGAAGACAGTGACCGCTACTAGCCCTCAGGTGGGAGGAGAGTACATTTGGCATTTGAATTAGAATTCAAGACTGAGAGAATGGCTGGGAAAAGTAATGTCTCCATTCATCCTATGGTGTTGTGATGACCAATAAATTATCAGGTTAAATAAGATATTTTCCTAAGCTTAATCTGTCAGTGTTATAGAGGCCCAACTAATTCTGTGTTTCTACTTGTCAAATGAAGGGAGAGTGGAATTAAAATATGCTTAAGAACCGAACAAAACCCGTAACTGCGCTGGCACGCAGTGAGGGCACTGAGCAGAACAACAAAGGGGATGACAGTGGCTTCTGTTTGTGCACATCATGTCCAAGCCTTGGCATCACCCTGAGCTTCCTTTCTGGGATTAACCTTCCCTGAGGAAAATTAATGAATGAAGATAAGATCACAGATGTCAGGGGCTCACCCAGGATTGTCCAGCTGCTCTGTGGCCGAGCTGCTTTTCAAAGCCACACTTGACTGGCTCCAAAGTTCAAGGTCTTTCTACCTCCCCATCCTCCTTCAATGGTATAAGAAGCAAAAATAGTTTTCATCATAGATACATAATGCTGGACAGGTAGAAGGTCTGCTCCTGGACTGGCTTTAGGAAGCCCTTCAATAGGGGAGAAAAGCAAATGAAGATGACATACTGTTTACATTTATCAGCTTGGCAGATACCTTCAAAATAGTTACACACTTTGACTTAACCATTTTGCCCTAAAGAAACTACTATATGTAACAAAAATTAATGTTTTTTTGTTCGTTTGCTTGTTTTTTGTTCACTGTAGTGTTAATCATACTGCATAAAAAATGGAAACTGGATATCCAAAGATAGGGGTCTGGCTGCTATTACAGGTCATATGATGGAATAGCTCATAGCCCTCCACAGTGATATTTTATAAAAATAATTGACACTAAAAGTTGCTGATGATACAATCTGAAGGAAACATTCTATGTGCAGGTGATACCAGCTGTATATGTATATGCTAGAAGAGGCTGGAAGGATGTAGGATAGGTGCCAAGAGGTGTGTTTGTTGAGCCCAGTAGGCCCCAGATGAAGTTTCTAACATGAGCCAGATCTACTGCCCTTAAAGAGAGTATATTTGGGTTCCTGGATATCCCAAAACTATTTTTAGGTTCTTTTTTATTTAAATAGAATGAAAGGACAGGGGAGCAGCTGCAGTTGTCAGAGGCAACAGGCACATCTATGAGCGAACGGCTAAAGCACCTGGAAAGGCTGATGCGGAGTTCAAGGGAGGAGGAAGTTGCCTCTGAGCTCCATCTCTCTGCACTGCTGGACATGGTGGACATTTGAGCTCCTGGACATGAGAGAGGGAAGGTCTCCAGAAGATTTTTGCTTTTACTCAAAATAATGTTATTCTCAGATGCTTGATGCACTGTTGGGAATGTGATTATTAATCATGCAAATAAACATTTGAATGTCTACTGAGGCCTTTTCTAGTTTTCAGAATGAAAGGCTCTTTTCTCCTGGGTAGTGTCTTTGATATTCTTATGTTTCATCTCCTCAGACTGTCACCCATCAACATACGCTCTGAGGGAGTTTGCAGCTTACATTTCTGTGTGTGTCATTCGCTGTCACAGCAAAGTTGCAGTCACTGATGTGCCAGACATCACTAATTCAGGGACGAATAAAGCACAGGAACTGTGCTTGCAGGCCCACCTCGCTCACATCTGAGAGAGCCAACTGTGTATGTACCTAGAAATCTGAGGATGTGCTTGGGGCATGTCCCTGCACTGGAAGCAGGAGAAGACGAGAGGATTAGGTGGAGGAGAGAGCAGGATTCCTGGAGAGAAGTGCAGGGTGTAGCTGGGGAGAATGGGATGTAGCTGAGAGGATATGATGAAAACCTGGAGGTGCCAGCTTGGTGGTGCTGCCAAGTGAGGACATAGGCCAGACCACAGAGACCCTTGCTGCCTTATTCTGAGTGCTATGGGAATCCACTGTTGGAGGAAAGTGGTTTGGTCACATATTCTTTTTATTTTTTTGAAATAGCGATCGAGAGAGCAGGAGCAGGGGAGTAGAGGGAGAGGTAGAAGAAGGCTCCCCGCTGATCAGGAAGCCCGATGCGGGGCTCAATCCCAGGACCCCGGGATCATGACCTGAGCAGAAGGCAGACGCTTACCTGACTGAGCCACCCAGGTGCCGCCACAAACTCTTTTAAAAATGGCATATGGGGATGGTCAGCAAGACAAGGAAGGGATCTTGAAAGGGGTGCTGTAGCCAGCTAGGTGAAAAAGGAAGGGTATAATCCTGAGTTTGCTAGCAGTTAGTTTGAAAGACGGATAAATCTGAGCCATCTACAGAGAGGCCTTGTTTTTATATTTACTTGTTTTTCTATGTTCTTAATACTTACCCAAAACTTTCTGCCTTAAGTGTAAAGCTCTTCTAACACTATCATGTGCATCAGTTAATGTGCTAGTTCTACTTTCTTATGGAGATAACCCACTGGGAAACACCCGTTTTTCTGCCACAGCATAGACATTTCCTGGATTCTCAGTTCTGTATTTTCCTCTTCCTTTTCTTGCTTTCTCATTTTGGTGGAGCCCGTTTTCTAGCAGCTTTCTGAGCTTGCATATCTTGTCTTTATTTCTACCCTTAATGGAAATGGAATTTTAGGTTGGTAATCATTCCGCTGTGTTTTTGTTTTTTGTTGCTGGAAGTTTTACAAATCATCTCTGCCCATGGTGTTCTTAAATTTCTCAACAACATGCTTGATGCATTGGTCTCCCTCCCCTGTTACTCACCCAAATTGTGCTGAGCACGTAGTAGTGCTTTTTCCCCTAGTGTTACTGCTGTGTGACCAACTACCCCAAACATACATAGTAGCTTAAATTTGGGAAGGATTTGGCTGGGCAGTTTCCTCTTGGGATTTTTCATATAGTTGCAGTCAGGTATTAGCAGGGTGCTGCAGTCACCGGAGGGCTTGACTAGGTTGGATGTCCAAGACAAGTTCATTCACATGGCTGGCAGGTGATGTTGCACTGTCGGCTGGGGGGACAGCAGGGGCTTTCAACCTGAGTGGCCAATATGTGACCTCACTATGTGGCTTGACTTACTCATAGCCAGGTGGCCTCAGGGTAGTGAAACTTCTTACATGGAATCTCAGGGCTCCAAGTGCAAGGGCCCTAGTGAGCAAAATGCAAGCCCAGCTTTGGAACTCATGCGGGCTAACTTTCATAGCACTATATTATATTACAAACATGTGGTTAGAGATGCAAGGGATGGGACACAGATACCATTTATCAATGGGGATGAGTGTTAAGATCATATTGTATAAGAGCATGTGAGATGGGAGATGTTGCAGGAATCTTTTGTTTTAGAGAGAGAGAAGATGCCGAGCAGGCTCCACGCCCAGCGCAGAGCCTATTGCAGGGCTCCATCTCACAACCCTGAGATCATGACCTAGGCTAAAATCAAGAGTTGGATGCTCAACTAGTCAACTAAGCCACCAGGGCACCCCAGCAGGAATCTTTGGAAAACAATCTGCCATGCTTTTTCAGTCTGGAAAATTATCCAACTCTGCTGGAGGTTTTGGAAATTATTTAATATATTCTTCACCTCCACTGTTTCCCTTTGGAACTCCTAATATTTAGATGTTTGACAACCTGGATTGATCCTCTAATTTTCTTTCTTTTTTTTTAAAAGATTTTATTTATTTGAGAGAGAGTGAGAGAGAGCACAGGCTGGGGGGGTGGGGAGGCAGAGGGAGAAGACTCCCTGCGAGTGGGAAGCCTGATGCGGGGCTCGATCCTAGGCCCTTGGATCATGACCTGAGCTGAAGGCAGACACTTAACTGACTGAGCCACCCACGTGCCCCGATCCTCTAATTTTCTTCTCTCCTTTATTTTTTCTATCTTTATTTTTTAACCTCCTACCCTAAAACTTCCCTATTTTATCTTCCTATTCTAGTGACTTTTAAAATCTGTTGCCGTATTTTTTATTCCTGAGTCTTTTTTCTTAATGTTTCTTATTTATTGAATCCTGTCCATTTGTTTATTCAGTATATATTTTTGGAATGTTTACTCTGTGCTAGGCATTATTCCAGGCGCTGGGGATATGGCAACAAACAAATTTCAGCCCTCACAGGGCTTGTATTTTAGTGGGGAGATATGGAATAAACAAGATAAGTAGGCAAATTGTTTGGTATGCTAATTGGTGGTAAGCAATGAGGAAAATAAGGGAGGGAAAGAGTGTCAGATGGTTCTTGTTTCATGGGTACAACATCCTACCTCTGTGAGGACATGTTTTTGTCAAAATCCTTTTCCACACCTTGCACCATCTCCATTTCTCAAAATTTCCTTTTTTGGTGTGTTTTGTTGTCTTTCTTCATAGAGGCTTTCCTCAAATGTCTAGCTCATGTTCATGATGGGGCTCTGAGGAGCCTGTTGGAAGCTCTGTGTCGAGGGTCACAGCCTGCCAGCTGATAGGCTCCTCCACTTATCCACTGGGTCTCAGATGCCAATGTTTGCAGGTCTTTTGGGGGCCATTTGCTCCAGAGAAATCCTCTTCTTACTGCCCAAAGCTGTATGGCTGAGTGGGAGAAGCAGGACTGGGCTCCTCCACGAGTGTAAGGCTTTTACTCATACCCCATTTTCAGTGGCCCTCAGCTGTGTCTGGTTCCTGAGTTCACACCTGCTCTGACTCAGTTGTTAGATGTGACAAGACAACTTACTGGTGACTGATAAGAGCAATCTTAGGAAATGTGAAGAGAAAAGGCTGGTGGCAGAGTTTTCTTTTTTTCGGGGAAGGGATCTATCATCCTACTGCTTATTCAAAGGTCTTCCATTTTCCGCACCTTCCTTGGGTTTGTTAGCAAGAATGGTCTCTTTTCTTGATGGCTTCACCCCAGTATATGGGTTTCAGCTTTCCTCTGGCTTGCTAAGTTGGTTATCCCTCCTTACATCACAATCTCTAGAATTTTGTTGATCTCTTAGTTTCCTGGTACCTCCTCTCCCGTTCTTAAACTGTGAGTTTTTATGATTATATTTTATTTATTTATTTATTTTGAAGATTTTATTTATTTGACAGAGAGAGACACAGTGAGAGAGAGGGAACACAAGCAGGGGGAGTGGGAGAGAGAGAAGCAGGCTTCCCGCTGAGCAGGGAGCCCGATGTGGGGCTTGATGCGGGGCTCGATCCCAGGACCCTAGGATCATGACCTGAGCCGAAGGCAGGCGCTTAACGACTGAGCCACCCAGGCGCCCCTTTATTATTATTTTTTTAAGATTTTATTTATTTGAGAGAGAGAGAGAGACAGCGAGAGCAGGAACACAAGCAGGGGGAGTGGGAGAGGGAGAAGCAGGCTCCCGAGCAGGGAACCCCGATGCGGGGCTCGATCCCAGGACCCCGGGATCATGACCTGAGCCGAAGGCAGACGCTTAACAACTGAGCCATGCAGGTGCCCCTATCTTTTATTACTTTATGTAAGTAGAGCTTGGATGGGAAATGGAAGCCAATGCCTGTGCTCAGTCTGACATGTTTAACTGGAAATTTCCCCCTTAAAAAACCCAAAACTCTGCCACCAGTGTTTTGTCTTCACATTTCCTAAGATTCTTCTTATCAGTCACCAATAAGTTGTCCTGCCACATCTAATCATCAATTCTCGGACCTCATTTTACAATCCCTTCAAAACCTCTACACAGACCACCGTGTCTTCACTTGGCTTCCCTGACTCCACATTCCTCTGGTTTTTCTCCCGTTTCTCTTGCCACACCTCTTCTGAACTGGAAACTATTGGTGCCACAGGGCTCATCCTGAAAATCTTTTCTTTGGAATACTCATTCTCTAGTTGATCTTGTCCAATCTTATGTTTTCAAACATCACCTAAAAATAGGTAACTCTTAAATTCCTCTCTCTAGCCTGTCCTCTCTCGAACACCAGCCCACTCCAACGTACCTACTTGCATGTCTAATGATCATCTCTGTCTTAAAGTATCCCCAATCTAAGCTGAAATCTTCCCCAACACCTTCTCTACTTTTGTAAATGACACCATCCTATGCCTAGTCGTTCATGCCAAAAACTTCAGAGTCTTTTGTATCCAGTTCATTGAACAAGCTGGAATTGGTAGGGAGCATTATTTTCTCCCGTGACTGTCTCTAGAAACTCTTATCTGTGAACTCTCAGACGGATTTTTACAATTTTTTCCTTTCCAAGATACTAAAAAAACCCCAAATTGTTATTTTGCTCATAAAAAGCCCAGTACAGTAAAATACCAAAACTCGAACTGTGCTCCAGTTGGAACCTCTTTCCTCCCTTGGCTTTGCCAGACTCAGGGTTTGAGAGGTCCACGTAGGCTGGAGCCCTAGTTCCCACCTAATTCGTTGAGTTCAGAGACAAACTTCCCATGTTTCCTACTCCCAGGGAAGTACGGATTGGTGAATCTGGGGGGACGGACGGGGTAAAGTGTGCTTGGCTGCTCTGAGGA